ACACTGCTCTCTGTTTCAGATGTGCCACCGTCACACTGGACCCCAAACACAACACATCACAGGTTTAATGACTAAAAGGCCTGTCACCCAGACAACTGTGGTCTCACAGGCTTTTGAGCTTCACATCAGTGTATCATCAACTTCTGTACAGACTGGAAGCATCCAGCACCTGAACAGTCAGCACTGGCACCACCTAGGGATGTCAACAGTCACTACAGCCCTTCTATTTTGACACCACAACCCCCAACTCCTATCGGTCATCCATCACATCTGAGACAATGATGAGTCACTTATCAAGCACCAGTTTTCTACACTTTTCTGCCCGTTTTGGCACAGCAGCACATATCAGGGTTCCTATGCAGTATGGAAAAGTATGGAATCTGATTTTGGTAATTTCCAGGTCTGGATAAGTATGAACGAAAGGAAAGAGAGTATGGGAAAATATTTGTGTTCCCAGACTCTATTCTTAATTTTTTAAAAATTAATTCATTCAGCAGAGTGACTTCCATGGTGTTGAGAGCAAGCAGCCTGCGCAGCCAAAGGTTAACCACTGAGTGCGGGCCAGATTGAGCACGATGTTGAAACTTAGGCAAGAAATATCCATGCAATTGATCACACACTCCTATGCAGAGCTGCCTCTAAGCCGCAAGTCAAAGCCCATAAAACAGCTCTGCCCCATCAAATGCCTTAAAACTTCTTAAACTTATTTTTGGTTCTTATTTGTAAAAGAGACAAAAATATGAGGGGAACAATAATACTATATACTATATATTACTTTATATGATAAGGGAAAATAATACGAGTGTAGCTAGCACTGGTTGGTTAATGTCCTCTTCTGGCTGAGGTGTTTGACAGTGCAACACTGTCCAACTTTCTGCAAGGGAGAGTGAACTGAGTGTCCACAATGGGTGAATGCATGTTTTCTAAGGGCTGGCTATTTGTTCTCAGATTTCAAATATAGTCTGAGAAATCTAAGGAGAATTAAGAAATTTTAACATGAAAAATGTGTTGACATGTGTGCATCTTGATTGACTAGGAATTCCTCGTTGTAAACTCAACTAATAAAACATATCATTGTCCTTTGCTTGGATCCAACAGTGACTCAGCAGCAGTATACTAAATAGTACTTTGTATTGCAACTGAAATGTAACTGCTGCAAGATTTGCCTCATGATAAATTAAGTTCTGTTTTATCTCATCTGACCTAAATATAAATCTAGAGTTCAAATGACCATCTCTTCCACAGTAGTTTAGAATAAAAGCTCAATGTTGTGCACCAATATTGCCACAAGATATCGCTGGTTGACTTCCAACATGGCAAAGAATTCAAATCAGGCTGAGACACAGTATTTGAAATAAACCACTGGTGGAGAGGGACTGGCTCAAACCTCAACCCTGCTCTCACACACCAGCGTCCAACAAGATAGAATTTCACAGTCCTGGGGCCTATGCAAACTGCAGGCACAGGTGCAATGCAAAATATTCTGCATGCAATAGTGTTGGGTACACAGATTTTACTGCCTCAGCTACAACTCTGCAGGTGCTGAAAAACACTGGACTTCATTGAAAAAGATACCCACTGAGCCTAGCACACAAGTTTAATTAAACAAAATAAAAACAAGATGGCCACTTGTGGATAGGACTTGACATAAAAATATGCTGCCGAGGATTACTCATCTCCAGGCTCTTTACAGACCTTGAGGATATTTTGAGACTAGCATTAAGTTTTAAGTTTGCTTTTATTGTCCCTGATGTGGACAAGTGTCTTGGAATAACAAGCAAACGCACACATGGAAGAATGGAAGAGACTCAACTGATAAAAACACTTGCAACAGTGGCCTTATGCCTTGATGGATTACAAGCACACAAACACACATCACCTGCATTCCTAAAACTAAACGCTAACAGTAAGATCTATTTTACAGTTACCTGATCGCCTGTCTGTCCTCCAGGAGTTCCCTGTTAATAGGCTTAACCAATAGAGAGCCAAATAAATGTTTGGAACAATTGTACTTACACAATGGGACTTACCAGAATTCAAAGGCTTATACTCAGAGTTCAACACACAAGAAGACTCAGATAAAATCTAAGAGTCAAACAGTCGAACGCTAAACATTGTCCTTGGGGGAGCAGGAGGTGAGGGCATCTCCATGATCATCCCTGTAGTCTATACCTTTTATATAAGAATTTTAGTCTTAAACTTGACCATTAAGTTTCCAACCCAGCTCAAAATATCATTATTGGCTCTAGAAAATAGAGCATCATATAATGCAGACACCAAAATCTCTGAATCTCCGAACAAATGATAGATATAAAAAGTTACCCGTCTCTTAGCAGTGTATGGCAACAGGCCAGGGGTATAATCATGAACTGACATGGGATCCCAAAAACAACTTCCTCAGTTTTATGGACACTAATGTCCAAATGACAGGTCATCATATCGGTATGAAAACCTGCCAAGCTTTAAAGCTGCTGATGTCAGAACTGCTGGAGAGTGAACACAGAGAGGCCAACATTTGTAGTTTGAGAACAACTTTATTGAAGCCTAAGAATTAGGGCTGAGTATCGTTAGAAAAGTTGCAATACCAGTACCAATACTAGTACCCCTAATGTGGTACCAATACCAATAGAGTACTTCATTTGATAACTTTTTTCCCCTACTTCATTCTATACTCATCGTGTGAATGGAAGCATTCAGTTAACTACTATAATTAATACACCACTCTTGATTTCACCATACTAGACTGTACCTGTTGTGGCTGCTGCAGTAGTGGGCCAATAACACATTGCATTAAATCAAAGAATGCTTGCAGTGAATGGCTGCAAGCAAAATAATACAACTAGGATTTTTTTTCTAGATCCTGGTACGAAAAGGATCGAATGCAGGTATCATTTGACTGAAGACGTTTTTAACGTGTTTAACTCTTTTTCTCATTGTCATCTGTCTTTTTACTTATATGTTTTTGCAGCTTGTCGCTTGTTTATTTTTACCTTAATTTTTGTTTTGCTTTGGTGTGGCATTATTGTTTGGTTTTTATTGTGTCATTGCCTCTGGGGTATCTTGCTTCTGCTTTGCTTTGTTTGTCACAACATGTTGTAAACTCTGTTTTTAATGATGCTAAAAATTATAATTAACTGGGTTAATTCAGTCAAAACCTTGATGGTATCTATTTTTCCATAACTTCATACCTTCCTGACATTTCACAGGGATATAGTATATGACAGTATTTGTGTTAAAAAACAAACAAACAAAAGCTTGTTGTAGCATGTATGTATGACATTTTCTAGCCTACAATGCGGTGTGTATTTAGCCTACTTAGACAAGCCTTGCTGTGTTTCAATACATGCCCCACAGAATTATACATAGAAAGGTAATAAGTGCCCTTCTTTCATAGACTCTTGCTGGGAGACCCGATGAGACATGTTGGCACAGTGCATACCAACACATTAGTGGGCTGAATGAAGATTATGTCCGGGTGGTGGTTTGCAGACTGAATGAAGGTTTGACGTGCTAGCCTCTTTTGCCACAACTTCCTTGATGCAAGTAATGCACACAGCTTCATCGGGACTATACCCAAAATACTCCTGAACAGAGGCAGAGGCATATTTACTAATACTGTAGCGTTATCCCTGCCACTCATAATCACCATCTTTCTCAGCTTAGTGACCTGTTCCACAGCTGCAGACTGGCCTCTGGTGATGCGTGCTGTGCACTACATACAATACAGCATCTTTGTATCAGTTTAATAAAAGAAGGCGCATCTGTGGTTTTTTTTTCCAATATTATTTTTATGGCTTTTGCCTTTATTTGACAGGAGAGTATAAGCATGAAAAGGGAAAGAGGGGATGACATGCAGAAAGGGTCGTGGGCTTGAATCGAATCTGCAGCCGCTGTGGCAAGGACATAGCCTTTGGACATGGGACTACCCGGTAAGCTACTGGTTGCCCCAGCTTATGTATTTTTGATGGTACTGAAATCATACCTTCTGGATTTCTAAATACCCTGGTACCATGATACCGCAAAAGCATAGTATCGAGGACCAATACACAGCCATGCTAAGAATTATCATGGTTTGATGACCCTCAAAATGAGGAGTGTTGGTCTCACAATTAAGTTATTCTTTATGCTTAAAAATGTTGATGTAATTTTTACCTCTTCAAACTATTTTTTTCTCTACGGATCAGATGAACTTGTGTCATAAGAATCCACGCTGAGTAAACTGAGAATAGCAGGTCATCTGGAAATGTCACTACAAATTTATTAGACAGGGAGCAGAGACAGTCAAGCTGCCTTTTGACGTCAGAGGTTAATATTTGGTCATTTTAGATGTCACAAAGACTGCAGACTCCAAGGAAGATGGCATCTTAAACCATTATCATTACATGATTACTTCCATACATTTTAAGTTACCTGTTTGATAATGTGTGTTTGTCTGTAGCAGAAACACACCTGCCATGCCACGTTTCCAGGACAACCCCATCATCAAGAGCCAATAAATCCTAATGGCCAAATAAGCTCTGGTGTCCCAGTTAGTGCTGCCTGGTAGCTGTAGTTTCTTATCTACTTTGCAGGGTCTCATTTAATCTAATGATACAGTGCAATGCAAATCAGTGATGCCTGCTTAGTGTTCCTATGGTGTGTTATGTGTTGCAGAATCGCAATAAAGCCCTCTACCAGAAACCTTGAGGCATCTGGCCTCCACACTGTAAAGATAATAGCCCCATCTCCTGACGTGTTGAAGAGGGGAAAGGTGAAGAGTGACTAACGGGGCCTTGTGTTTCACGGTCACACTTAAGCATCAGTAGACACACAGTCACACCGGCCCACAAAGTCTAGCTACCGATAACGTTACATCTCTAATCGTTACTCGTTAACCGTTGCCAGCTCGTGCCCAACGCTTAGTACAGAGAGGGCAGGAGTTTCGAAATGCCCCGCTTGCTAACATCAATATGTGCGTTAAGAGTGTCTCAAGGGGTAAAAATGGCACGTTTAGTCCTCACCTGCCTGATGAAAGAGAAGACGGAGCCCACTTCCCTTCTCGGCTTGCGTTACGTCCGTCGGTTCGTCCCCGTGGTTTGTGTTGTTGAAGCGGCGAGTGCGCACGAGGAAGGGGGATACGGATAGCCTTCACTTGTAGCCGCAGGATAACTCAAGCCGGGCGGACTGTGGCGGAGAAATAAGACCGTCTTCAGCGCCGGTTCCTTCCGAAGCGAGCTCCTTCTCTCTCACAAACGGGTTTCTAGACAGCTGCTCCGCTCATGGAGGGATTTCGCCTTTCATAAAGCCACGGGGTTGACGTTCGCACTCACGCATGCCCACATCCACCCGTGACGTCAGTGCCGTCCTCTCGCCCCGCCTTCGAGCCGCCGCTCAGCCAATCAGAGGCAGCCTGGCTGTGACGCCAGCCTCCCTCCTTTCCTTGTTAAGATTTACACTGACAGCCATTAAACAGTTTTTGTAATAATAACCTTCCTTGCATAAGCTGCGTTTTTTTCTCCTGTGGATGACAGTTACTTAACCAGCACGTGCACCACCCCCTAAATAATTAAGATAGGAGTCTGTCTGTTCGCCTTTCACTTTGGTGCCTTCAGGCTGATGTGTTCCTTCACACTGCCATCTGATGGTTGTTTATTTCCACTGCCTTTGGTCGCCCACATTCACATACAGTAGACCGGCTATTTATCCTGACGTAACCCAGTTGGCACAAGGTTGGATAACAGGGCTAAAACAGCAAGCAACTAACCGTTTGCTGTGTGCACTGTGCAGTACTACAGTATGGAAACACCCTGTTACAATATAGTGATACATGGGTAATATTGCCAAGGTATTAGCATAAAAATATACTTACATTTAATCATTTTTAATTTTACATAATTAATCCCTGAGGGGAAATTCATTTTTTCCACTCTCATGTCATATACACTGAGGCCCAAAATACACACACATTGACAAAGAGGACCTATACATATTAAGTGGAGGGATGTCAAAGCGAGAGGACTGCCCCGGATGGGCGCCCTAAGCAGTTGGGGTTCAGTGCCTGCACAAGAGTACCATGGCAGTGCCCAGGAGGTGAACTGGCACCTCTCACCCACCAGTCCACACTCCATATTTGGTTCCCAACCCAAGTCCCTATGGACTGAGCTACTGCCACCACTGGTACTAAAGCTCCTAAAGTGAAAGTGCTCATTATGTAGAATGGCACATTTAATAATAATAATAATAATAATAATAATAATAATAATAATAATACAAAGGTATGATGTCGCTGGATTACAAGTGGATTAGTGAGATATCCATGCACGGACAGGTTATGAGACAATGGGCACAGATATGAAAAGGCCTCTCAACGCAGAAGCATGATCACAGACTTTGTGCATCGTTCTTTAGCCATTACACATTCTGTTGTGGTTTTGTGCCTCTTTGAATTAAAGTTGTGTCATCTTTGTTTGTTTTATGTCTCTTTGTAGTCACTTTATGACTCTCTGTGGTTGTTTTGACTGTTTTTGTGGTTATTTTGTGTCTCTTTGCTGTTCCTCTGAGCGGCACGATGGTACAGTGGTTAGCACTCTCGCCTCACAGCAAGTTTCTCCAGGTTCTCTGGCCTCCTCCCACAGTCACTCGCTAGACACAGGTTAGGTTAATTGGTGACTCTGAATTGTGTGAATGCTTGAAATTGTGAAACTTTTTGAATGCTTGCCTGCTTCCATGTGTCAGCCCTGTGACAGTCTGACGTCCTGTTAAGATTTCCCCCACCTCTTGCCCAATGTCAGCTTGATGACGATATACCAGCATAAGCAGTTATAGATAATGAATGAATGCAGTTCCTTTGCATGTATTTGTCATTTTGTGTCTCTTTGTGTTAATTTTAAGTCTCTTCCTGGTTGGTAATTTTAGTTACAGAGACCCAAAGTGTGAGGGAGCCCCCCTGGACCTGTGCCCAGTAGGCCTGTTCAGTAATCCATCCATGGTTACTACACTGCATGTAAACATGTTCTCCTATTACCTGTGGACTGTTACATGACTCTCTGAGTAACCTGGTTACTACTGTAAACACACTGACTATATCTGACTGAAGGTTTTCCCCAGAATACCCAAGGCACACATGAACTTTTGATCCCAGTAAAGTCAACAATACCAAGAGGTTTGGGGCGTAGGTGGCTTAGTGGTAGAGCAGGCGCCCCACGTACAAGGCTGTTGCCGCAGTGGCCCGGGTTCAAGTCCAGCCTGTGGTCCTTTGCTGCATGTCATCCCCTCTCTCTCTCTCTCTCTCCCCCTTTCACACTTAGCTGTCCTGTCCATTAAAGGCAAAAAATGCCCAAAAAATATCTTTAAACAATACCAAGAGGTTTAACTCATAAGGAGCTGCAGCAGCAGATGGCGTTGCCATGAAGACATCAGCAGCACTGTGCACCTGCATGAATATGATGTGACATTACAAGTCAGTTGGCAGTCAGGCAGCTGTTGAATAAACCATTGGAGGTGAAGCATGAATGAAGTAGCTAATGCGAGCATGGCTTCAGTGCACACCTGACTTGACATGATTTAAATGATAAAAGTAATATTTATAATACTATCAACAGAGTTTAGCAGTAACCAATACGCAGTACTGCTGGTTTTACAAATGACAGATGAAACAACAACAACTGAAGATATGTGCTGCATTACTCTCTCTACACACAGTATGTGCAGTGCAAGCAAATCTCACACCTCATATTTACTGACAAAACATCCTCATTGTACGGCTATCATGCTTGCTTGTAACCCCTCTATGAGTGTTATTATGGCGAACCATTTGAAATGTAAGCATCAAAGATTGGTTGTGTCCCATTCTACTTAATGATGGCTGTAAAGAGTTCTCTCAATAGTATCATTGTACTGAATAGTTCAAAGCTTCATTCATAACATTGACATTCAAAGTCCTTTTCTTTGCATGCTTATCCTGTTTAAGCCCTGTAGCCTACTTCTAAAAAGTTGCAGATAAAGACTGGCTAGACTAATATTATTAGTATTATACTGTTTGTAGAATTAGGATTGCGCAGGATTGTTTCTGACTCGTGTGATCCATACATTTTCAACTTTAGAGCGTTGTAAAGTCCAAAAGTCAAAATTTATTGAAAAAACATAGATGTAATCATTTTCAAAACTCATGTTTTTATCTAACAAAATATTGTGATTCAATCTGTATTTTTTGGCACTTCGCCTTTTAAAGATATTTTCACTGCAGTCATAAAACTGCTACTGTCTTGATTTAATGAGTTGATTCAATAAAAAAGAGTAACTCAGTTAATCTCGTGAGTCACCTTTGAAGAATTTGTTCAAGGGTTTTTTTATGTTATGAATTTATTTATAGGGTGATGACATCATACAATATGACGACAGAAATTCAAAGCATCATTTGAAAACCTCAATAGAAGCTCAGTACAGCCTGACTTAATAGTTGCTTGTGTCATTTATTGGCTATGATGCTTTAGTGAACTATTCACATTCTAGGTGTTGATCCCTGACCCCATGAAGTCATAAAGATTAGTTACATGGTGTGATTTGAGTAAAAGTTACTTTGAGTAAATATTTGTTGTTTTTCCTTTTCAATTTTTGAAAATCAACCAATTTATTGGTTATAAGGCTGTTTTAAGCCTGTATTGGTTTCACCAAAAACCTCACAGATTACACTGGATAGTTGTGTCACTCTTCTGTAATGAGCAGTCATATTTGACAATTTCACATTTTCTATAAAATGCATTTAAGAACAAGTCCCTCAAGGCAAGCCTAATGCATCTATAATCCGTCATAAACCCTGCCTTCCAGTTCCTTTAGGATAAACTTCAAAATCCTTCTAATTGTCTACAAATCTATTCATGGTCTCATCCCTACAGAACCACTAGACTCCTCAGACCCACCCACCATAGCATGCTGGCTGTACCCCCATCATGGAAAAAGAAAAAGGCCGGGGACAGGGCTTTTTCTGTAGCGACTCCTCAGATCTTGAATAGCCTGCTGAAGGCCATTAGACTGGTTGAGTCTGGTGATGCTTTTATTAACGCACCTTAAGACCTGTTTATATTCACTGGCGTCACCTGTTTTTCGATTCAGTTATTTTAAACTGTGTTTAAGCTTGTTTTTATTTCAATCCTGTTTTACTCATTTTTACACTTCGATGTTGAGATGTTCCGATACCATTTTTTTCTTCCAGATACTGATTCCAATACTTGAACATGTGTGTCGGCCAGTATCGAGTATTGACACCATTGCATTAAAAAGAAAATAAATTAGCAGCTGTATAGTACTAACCCTGTATGGATGTGAATTAATTGCTATGATTGAATCAGGTTGCTCAGGTTAAACCCTTTGTAAAACATGTACAAATACATGTAACAAGATCAACTATAGAGCGGTAATATGTGTAATAAAGTATTATATAACACAAAATTAGTTTCAGTTGTTATTACCTGACATGATTAGGCCTTCAAAGTCAATATGGAATGTATGATACTCCGTTTCTGTAACCCTATGTTCACCTTTAAGGGTACCCCACCTATAAAGGGGTGTCTCCCACCTTGCCTCTCCCCTTTTGCTCTTGTAGTAATTTACGTGTTTTAGCGCTGTTAAGCTATGTTCATGAGTTCATTTTTCAGCCTAAACTTATTGTATAATATGCTAACATATTCTTGTGTCACTTCATTTGAGTAAAGGCTCAAGTTTTTTATTTGTAATAGATGGAGGATTTTGTTTTTACCTCTTGTCGTCAGTTGTCAGGAATAAACTGAGATTGCCTCCAAAGATACTACAGTCTGGGCCTCTTCATATCAACAAAATGCAGACAACGTTAGAGTCCACTGGTTTCATACATATAGAGAATAAATGCCATTAATATGACCAAATTGCTGACATTTTGCTCACAGCTAATGTTATGCTATTTGATGGAAATCAGTTCTTCTTTACAGCTAAAACAGTAGGTGCAAGTGCAACTTGCTGTGTGGGCTTATGTTTTCAAGCAACGAAGAAGAATTAATAGGAAAAGTGTTAATTTATCCAGGTGTAAAATTACTTTAAAGTATATTAACAGATTACGTGTTATCTGATCGGTGCATAGACTGGCGTACTTGGTACAACTCTACTTAGACCTTATGTCTCCAGCATCAGGAGGAAACGCGGTGGGACAAGGATTAACGTTAAGGTGACGAAAGTCCAAGTAGGTAGGCAGTAGGGGTGGTGGATGGGTCCAGCAAATACCAACTTTCACCCAAGAGAGCGGTGTTCATGTCCCGTAAGATTCTAAAGCCAAACCCTGTTCTTTTTTCCTAAACCCAACGATGTGTGTTTGTTGTTTAAGGGAAAAAAATTAAATTCAGTGTTTTATCAACGTAGTGCATTTATTTTGAAAGAGACTGTATCCAAACGTTCAATTTCCTGTGAAAATGGAAGTGCATTTTGAAAGAAGACAATGCATGTAACAGGCAGAACTTGACACGGTGTCCCAGAATGTCAACAACCAATGCACTCAGGGTACCTTGCACATTATACGTGGACATGGAAGTCCATGACCAAGCATGTAAATATGCGACGAGGTCGGAATAAGAATGTGTTGGAGCATACATATATGTCTGCCTTTGTGAAGCTTGTTGGTGCCAAACCTGTTTTGCTTTTCAAAGTGTTATATGAATGAATAAACTTGAAACTTTAACTGGTCCCATCAAATAAATCTTCAGCTTGAAACAGTCCTTGTTATTCTGAAAAAGAAAATGTGGAACACATCCATACCTGAAGCTAATAAAAGACTTTGCGAGGCTGATAAATAGAAATGCAGTTATTTGTACTGAAAGGGTTAACGTCCCTCTTGTCAGTTCACTTATTGTTTGCTTCGTCATTTGAATGCAGGAGAGAAAATGTAGTGAAAGGACACATTAAACAGGCAAAGTCGCAGCTGTCGACAGCATCTTTAATTAACCGACATCACAAAGGTCCTACTGTACTGTACAGAATACTGTGGCACTTAAGAGTCAGCATGCTCGTAGATACTGAAGAATCAAGAGAAAGCCTTAATTCAGCATAAGAACACACTTTTAACAGTCCTTTTGTTTCTTCACAGTACTGTACAGACTCTAATCTGACCAGCTAAACATAATCTTCCAAAATACAAATAAAAAAGGGAGAAATATTTTAATAATCTGTGGAGAACTGATACTAAACAGAGATTTCTAAAACAAATATTCAGCTCTGGTCCTACTCCATCACCCAGTGCAGCACAGATGAGACCAATACAAGGTAGGATATATAACTATTAACTATACATATATACATACACACCAGTGGTGCATCAGTTGCAGGTATCTACAGTGCCTTTACGTCAGGCGCATATAATACATAGTCTTAAAATTGTAGTGCAAGCTAATTCCACATCACATATTTGATGACAAACATGCTTTACTTCATTTCTCTTTTTTTTTTTTTTTGTTGTTGCGATTTTTATTCTCTAAGTTCACTTCATCCAGTGCTCAGAAAACGCTTGAGGAAAGAGCAGGAGTGTGTGTGTGTGTGTGTGTGTGTGTGTTTGTGTTAAAGCTAGTATCCCTGGGAACTCGGGTCAGAGGATTATTGTAAGATTCTGCATTCCTTGTTAATTCTCTTTGTCTGATGATAAAACACGAGCTCTTCTGTTTCCTCATTTAGGACACACACAAAAAAATAAAAATAAAATAAAAACAGGCCGATGGGGAATTTTTACCCAGGAAGCTCTTCTCCTCTTCTTCAGTCTGTAGCAGTCTTTTGTTTAATCCAGAGGCAGTTGCAAGATACAGCTAAAGGAGCGCAGCAAGAAATAGAAAAAAAAACACACAGTTCCTGTGTCCAGTACAGTACCTACATTATATTCCAGGATGAGTTTGAGGGGTTGGTGAGGTGAGGTGGGTGTGCTTTGTGTGTGAGCTGTGCTTCTTTATATCACATTCTCAAACAGCTGCATGGAGTTCATGATGTTCTCGTCCTGGAAAAACAAGAAGAAAAACATCTGTCATCAGAATTCTGAAGTAAACAAAAGTTCAGGTTGAAAATGTTGGATGCATCATGCTTGTGGTTTTATCAAGTGATGATGTAGTTTCCAGTGAAGTCATGACAGACAGTTGATTCAGTATTTGTCCAGCTGTTGTTTACTTGTGTCTATTTGTCCAGAAAGATAGGAATACAGCAGGTCCGTTTCTTTGTGTCTGCTAACAGTTTTGGTCAACAGGAGGATTTAGACATTGTTTTTTGAATGTGGGATGATTTTGGAATTGACTTCCCTTTACAGGTCAGGTGGATCATGTTATCACTTCTACAGATAATCAACTAAACATGGCCGGCATAGTGGTGCAGTGGTTAGCATTGTTGCCTCACAACAAGAGAGTTCCTGGTTCAAGCTCAGGGTGGGAAACTCTGTATTGAGTTTGAATGTTTTTCCTGTGTCAGCGCAGGTTTTCTTCGGGTACTCCGGCTTCCTCCCACAGTCCAAAGACATGCAGGTTAATTGGTGACTCTAAATTGGCCATAGGTATGAATGTGAGTGTGAATGGTTGTCTGTCTCTATGTGTATAAATTAATCAATCAACTAAACATTATGTATTATTATGAGTTTAAGGCTCTGTCTACATGTATACAGAGATTTTTTTAAAACTGATCTTTTCCTCTATGTTTTCACCTCTTGTCCACATGTGAACAAAGTTCTATGTCACTAAGCCAGAGATTTTTTAAAAAGCCTTCTAAAGTGCAGATTTTTCAAAACTCCAGTTACTTTGTATCTGTGTGGATGTGTAAAAGAGAGTGTTTGAAAAACAAAGACGTTAAGCTCTTCAATCTGTGCATGCCAATTTTTACGCTGTGTAATGAGTTAAATAAGCATGGAGCCCACACTGTAACTAACTGCACTCCCTGAAGAAATATTATCATATTTTTGGAAAAACAGAGAGTTAGCAGACAGAGGAGTCTACAGTCTGCGTTTGAAGGATATGTCCAGGATGTCAAACTGACTCAGCAGCAACAACAGGTTAAAAAGACAAAGATAGTTAGAAGCTAAAGCCGAACTACAGGCTACAGATCACAGTGTAAAAGTGAACCACCACATCACTGCTGTTCGCCACAGAAGACAATGAATATAAAGGGAAACTTTGCTGATATTGAACCAGCTGTGTGGCATCGCAGTGTGTGCAGATGAACGCTGTTTGGTTCTGCCATGATTCCACTGCCAGCACCCGGACCTCCGCTGGCAGGAATCTCCGGAGGGAGTAACACAACGTTCATCTGTGCACAATGCGATGACACACAGCTGATTTAACATCTGCAAAGTGTCCCTGCTTCCTTTCACTGGTTGCTGTACAGCAGGGTAGGTCTTTTCAGGGTTTGATTTTGGTTTTGGAACAGGAAAGAAATGTATATCTTTTCCAACCTCTCCAGGTAATGAGTATCATTAATACACGACGTGCCCCAGGCACAAGATTCAGCTCGAAATCCACAAAACCAGCCTGAAAATGAAGGAAATCTAAGACGATTGCATCAGAGTCAATGGAGCACAGCTGTGTTATTGTCGAACCATGACTTAGATATAGGCTACTTAAATGCATTAGCCACCACGAGAAACTCAGATTACATCACACGCAGGAGGAGCGTGACGTCATTCTCAGCTCAGGACAACATTACTCCACTTTACATAGCATATACTAGTTTGCTGCAATTGTTAATATTCTAAATATCAAATGGGGCTCCTTTAAAGAGTAGCTACATTCATTCCTTTGGCCCTTTTTCATTGAGGCTTGTTAGAACAGCTGCAAAGTTGCATCAGATTTATTGCCTAATGTTTGAGTTTGGGGTCAATTAAACACACAGATAGATCATCTTTAACACAAACACTTCATGCAGGAGCCAACATAGTTTATGTAATCTCAGTCCTTCCACTACTTATGAAGTCAGGGGGTAAAATGGCCACACAAGTCTAGACACCTTTTATTTTATCATTCCAGTTTCAGGAGTCCAAACGTCTGTTTTCCTCACTGACAATGTTTTCTTTTTCCAATACGTGTTGAGACTTGTGCTCACTACATCAGAGGATAAAGCTTTCAACTGTAGCCCTAAATGTCATTTAACATTTTACAGCTTTTGTAGCTGTAAAAACATGTTATCATGATTCAGCCACAGCCTGGGACAAACTAGTCCTCAATGGACATTTGACATCAGGGTGGACAGCAGTGGTGCCCTGCAGATTCATGGAGGTGAGGTCACCAAACTCAAATAGGCAAATAAAACCAAAATCATGTATCCCTAACCAAAAATGTAAATTGATATTGTGAATTTAGGAACATTCATGGATGTGCCATTTTCTAACAGGCATAAGGTAAAACCTAGTGTGATGACAGGTTCAAAAGACAGATTAATAAAGTTTCAGATAATTAGGGGTAGAAGTTTTAGAGCCTTATTGCTGTGGATTATCATTTATCTAGAATGACAGCATGAACACAAGTGTGTAGGAAAGGTGACAAGGTTGCACCTGACATTCTGACAGTATTTGTGTAACCACACAGTGATTGTGTGAATCAGAGATTGTTTGGAAACAAAGAAGATAACAGTACTTAAAAAAAGCATACTATCATAAGAAGGGGAAGGGTCATGATATGATTCAGGAGGGAGACGGGAGAAGTGAGGTATTTCTCAAAAACATGAGTGATGCTTTGCTGTATGTGCGAATGTAGTTAATTTTAAACAGCAGCTGATCAGTGACTTGCTGTCACTGTCATCAAACCCAAGTCTGTTGGACATCATTTGTGTTGATGAGTAACTTTAATTCTGTTATTGATGTCTGTGTGTATATGGAAATCTCACCTTCTGACAGGTCTCAATGAACTCTTCAATGGTCACAACACCATCTCTGTTTTTATCCATTTTCTGAGGAAAAAAGAAACAAAACAGAGAGAAAGGACACATTAAAACATTTACAGGGAACACTGTGTTGTTTCCAATAAGCAAAGGTGGGAAAAGTACTGAAAAATTCTACTCAAGTAAAAGTATCTTTACTTTGATGAAATTCTACCTAAGTACAAGTAAAGCTACCCATCTAAAAATCTACTCAAGTAAAAGTAAAAAGTAGTTCATTTAAAATGTACTTAAAGTAGAAGTTACTTAGTTACTTCCAACAACTTGATGGGGGTCACTCCTATGCAGTGCAAAAATGGTCCAGGGGTCATAAATCCAGTCCAAAAACTGGTTATTAGCACATGTGCACACAGGGTTTTCTTTTGTTTCGTTCATTTCTTTGTTCATTTCAACTGCTGCGTCTGCTTATGCTGCTGCCATAGCACTCCTACCCTCCTCCATCTCTCTCTCCAGTAACTCGCTGGCACCGGCCGCTTGTTCTGGGTCAATTCCACGCAAGATTTCCGAGATTCACCCTTTTGGTTTCCATTTAACCGGAAACATTTTCTTTTTTTTTACTCAGTAACAGATGTGATCTCCAATGTAGCGAAGTACAATACTTGGCTGGCTGCAGCCCGAGATCCTTTCCATGAATATTACAAACAGGATTGGTGACAAGGGACAACCCAGTGTACTTGTGTATGTTTGATCTGAGTGCATTCAGAACCTGGAAGAACTTGTCCACGTGTTCGGAAGGAGCTTCATCTCGCACACAGGGGTAGGTGTACCTCCCCATCATGTCGTAGATTGACTTCATGATCGCCAGCATCTCCTGAAAAGAATAAGACAGAGACAATGTGAGGGAGTTAAAAGAACTTTTCATTCTTTTACATTTACAAAGCTCGTAGCTTCATCTTTCACACTAGCTTCACATTTTACCTGAAAATGCAGAGCATAAATCAAACATTTTATCACCCAGATTTTAGAAAAGCCAGAATAAAAAGATAAGATGCCACAGAAATTCAGACCACACCTGGGTATGATTCCCCAGGTTTTGTCCAAATATCTGTGATGTCACATACCTCTTTGGTGATGTAGCCATCCTTATTAATGTCGTAGAGGTTGAAGGCCCAGTTGAGCTTCTCAGTGACCGAACCTCTTAGCAACACAGACAGGCCGATGACAAAGTCCTCAAAGCGGATTGAACCATTTCTGTCGATGTCAAATGCGTTGAACAGGAAGTGAGCGTAGGTGGTGGCATCTATGGACAAAAGGAGTATGTTAACAGAGTTAGTGTGCCGTATCTACTTTTTTCTCAGGATTGGCACAAATAAAGCCCTTCGTAATCCAGTAGAGGAAGTAAATTTACTCAAGTATCATACATAAAAATAATTTTGAGGTACTTGTACTTCACTTGAGTATTTCCATGTCATGCTACTTTGTCTTTACTCCACCACATTTCAGAGGGAAATATTGTACTTTTCGGTCCAGTACATTTATTTGACAGCTGTCATTACTATTTAATGTTACTAAGAGTTTTTAATACAAATTGTATTTCTCATAATACTTGTGCAGCAGCATGCTTTATACTCTTTGTTTAAATATAAAGTTCAGTTTCAGACAGGTTCACATTTAAATCAAAAACAGGTTGAAAAACTCATTTGCTCACTTGTTTAAGAAAATTAGGTTTTTAGGTCTCAATTATAGTCAGAGTTGTATTTTTGGAGCTTTAAGATTGAACTGCCCAGCTGAGCATAAAGTAGTTAAAGTGGATACAGACAACTTCTTTCCCTCTGGCGTTTCCAAGTGATTTTACTGTTGTTATTGTTTCCGTTGTCACAAAGCAACCCGGATCACTTTCTGCTTTCCTCAGAGCCTTACAACCACCAGCAACACAGAACACATTGCATTTTGTTTTCCACAGTTATTTTGGTTGTTCCTCTGTTCAGCATTTCCACAACTGGGGATAATAAGTGCAAAGAACAATGATCCTCTTTGGTTACTGGGGATAGCTACCAATGGCTACCGCAGAAAACAAAAGCTCTGTCGTCTTCCTGTTTTGATTGCACAATGGTTGATGCACTTCCTTTGTGCTGCAAATAGAGCCTTTATTTTCATGGGATTGCAAATTAAAAGCGAGACTTATGGGGAATGTAACTGATGGTGTCATTATTCTATAGCCATTACTTTGTGCAATCAACGTTAGCATAATAAAAATATGTTAAAGAAAAAAACTTGTCTATTTCCAAAAACTTGTGCCACATCGATCAGCTACAAGAGGAAATTTCTACTTTCACATTAATGCACCGGTAACATTAATCCAGTAATATGATCTATATCTGAAAACACAGTGAAAGGGGTTATATTGCAATAGCTTTACTTTTGATGCTCTGAGTAAATTTGCTAAAAATACTTTTACATAAGATTATGAGAGCAGGGCTTTTACCTGTTAAAGAGTATTTTGACATTGATGTATTATTACATTAACTTGTGTAAAGGATTTTTAAACTTCTTCCATGACTCTCATGATCTAACATATATTTGACATATCAGTAAATCTTGCAAGAAAATGATTAAATATAAATCTGGGACATGGAAAATCAAAGACCCCCTCCAAAGGTTGCAGCCCCAGAAACAAATCAACAAGTCCTCCAACCCATACAACCACATAGGACATTTGTTCTTTGTTCCCACCCTATAGCGTGACCCATAGAAGTGCTTCCCAAATTAATGCCCCTACCGTTGGATGACAGAATAGCTCATACATGACTGTTGATAGTTGCAGTTTTTAACGTGTGGTTTACATTATGAAATGGTCACAGATGCAGCAAAACTATGTGGTTAGATTTATTTTTTTAATTTTATATACTTTATTAATCCCCCTGAGGGGAAATTCAATTTTTCACTGTTTGTCAATTACACACAGGTCCGAACACACACATACATACCTATACATGCACAAAGTGGAGAGATGTCAGAGTGGGCTGCCCATGACAGGCGCTCTGAGTGGTTGGGGAGTTCAGTGCCTTGCTCAGGGGCACCTCGGCAGTGCCCAGGAGGTGAACTGGCACCTCTCCAGCCACCAGTCCACACTCCATATTTTGGTCCGGACGGGGACTTGAACAGGCGACCCTCCGGTTCCCAACCCAAGTCCCTATGGACTGAGCTACTGCAGCCCCAAGATTTAGGCCCAGTTCAGACCAAAGATCCAGGACATGACGTGTTGAAACGTGCAAATTCTAAAAACCTGCAGGTTCACACCAATGCAAGTAGATGAGACAGTGTATCATCTCTATGCAACAACTCTCTGTACTTCTGTTCTGATTTCCAGTTTTTCCGGCTGATTTTGTGGCTTAATATAATTTGTGGCTTCTTAAAATATGAATAAGGATATTGATAGGGAGATACTGGCTACAGTTATTCATAATAAATATGTCACAATGATATAAATAACCATTGGTCTGAACTGGGCTTTAGCAACAAAACCCCTTGCTTAGGCTTAGAAAAAAGATCATGGTTCATCTTAGAATAAATGCGTTTGTTACTAAGGCAAACGTTGATGTCATATCTCACATCACATATGTCACATAAGACATTACATACTAAAACATACTACATTAGATTGTTCGAATAAGTAAATGTTGACTTCTGGTTTCACAGTGGACAGAAACTTCGGCCTCCTGGAGGAAAGTCCTGTGTTTGACTTCCTCCGTTGCTCCCCTCATAATTACTATGGCCACTGGAGGTTATCATAATAAATATAAAAATGGGTCAGAATGCTACTTTTTTACAAAAGACCTATGTGGTTGTATTTTGTAGAGGAACAGTCTTTTCTGATCTCACCCCCTCCCCTAATAATTTCAATACAGTTCCTAACAAGAGAGGACAAGAAAGGACAGATTGTTTTAACGTCTAACCTCCTTGGGGAAAGAACTGAGAATAGATGGTCTTGAAAGTCTCTTCATCAACCAGCCCACTGGGACACTCCTGCTCAAGAGAGGAAGACAAAAAACCCTGATATATAGAGAACAATTCAAGTCTATATAAAGCATAGGAAAGCTGGTAAAGCAATGACGGACGTACGTTCTTGAAGCCTCGATAGAGGGACTGAAGCTCCTTCCTGGTGAACTTGGTCTGAGCTTGCAGCTGGTCCAGACCCTCCGGCTGGTGACGCACCGTCGACAGCTCCAAGTCACTGTCACTGCTGTCTGTGGGAGAAAGAGACAGACAGAAAACGGGGATGGAGAGACAGACAGAAATAGATGTAGAGGGGGGAAAGATGAAGAGAGAAAGAGGGAGGATGGGGCAGACATTGAGTGTGTGGATGCATGTCAGCATTCGGGGAAGGGGTGGGATTAATCATTCAACAGGGAGGCATTTGTTACAGAGCAGGTGGGGAGAACGTGCGAGTTTAAGAGAAAGATTTAGTAAAAAACTGTAGAGGAGTAAAACTCAGGCAAAAGAGGGGGTAAAAAAGAAGAGGGGGTACTTTCTTTGTGGCGGAAATGTCACCAAACATTTTGATGTATTGGCTTTGAAAATAAAAACACTGCAGAAAATCAGAATTTGAGAAATTCAATCAAAGTTTTCCTCACAGAGTAAATGACATTATGGTTATCAGTTCACACACACTAAGAGAAAGCACTGCACGGCTGGGACAAAGAAAACCAAAAAATAAAACAAAGGGAGGGAAGTTTTCTCAAAGTTTTCTACTGTTACTATACTTACCATCTTTACACAGAGAGAACAGAGGACGAGGGGTGTTGACACCAAGATGTAGTGAGAGAGAGTAAATGGAGAACAGTGAGAGAGTGATAGTAAGAGGAAGAAAAAACAAAACAAAGAAAACAAGTCAGATCGGACACGCAGAGGTTCATACGCTGTGCGGTCCAGAGGAAAAGGCTCAAGTTATAGTCATGATAAAACGTCCAGCAGAGCAGTGAGATATAATACTTCACTAAAAACATAAACCAAAACCACAGCGGAGCGACCTGACACTCGTGTGTAATATTGGATTATTACTTTAGCGTTTATTTAAAACAATGAGACAGCACAATTCAGTGAGAAGGACACAGCAGGAGATGACCTCTGACCTCTGTCACCACATGAACACCCCATTGATAAAATGTGTAAAATCAAAAGTAGGTCTCCAAAGTTGTTTTAATCCAAATTATAATTTGATCTCAGATGTAATAAGTGATGACACGGAGCATTAAAGTTCATATGTGACCTTGGAAACAGCAGTTTAAAAATCATATCTAAATTCAAGGTCCACTAACTAGCTTTTTTCAGAGCTTTCACCCACATCAGTGAATGAAGCAGGTCATGTTTGAAAATTCTTCATTCATTTATTTTCCATAACCGCTTATCCCATGACCCCTAATGGACAACCATCCATGCTCACATTCACACCTGTGGGCAATTTAGACTCACCAATTAACCTGCATGTCTTTGGACTGTGGGAGGAAGCCAGAGTACCCAGAGAAAACCATGCTGACACAAGGAGAACATGTACAGAAGGGCTCCCCTGGGGTTTATTTTCCGTGTCAACTTCTAAATTGAAATGAGGCCTGGGAAACTCGTATATCAGACATAATTCAACAAATATGGACGTCCTACATCAGCCAAAGACCACAGTTCAATGAAATTAAACCTAGTGATTGATATGGTTGATATATTATATATATAACTGATATGGTTATATATTGGTGGTGCAGCGTTTTTTATTCTGTATGCCGTTTGAGCGCATGGCAAAGCGACAGCGATGAGCTAGCCAATGGGATACACCAACACATTTTCACTCTGATCTCGTAACATCAACGTTTGGTCATAGACTTTCCACGCCCAGATTCAACGTGAAAGGTACCCTGGCTGCATTAGTTGTTGACGTTCTGGGATGCCTTGTCAAGTTCTGCCTGTTACATGCAGCCTCTCTACTTTCAAAATACACTCTGGTTTTCACAGGAAATTTACAGTTTACATACAGTCTCTTTCAAAATAAACGCAGTACATCAGTACAACACCGGGAATGACATTTGTGTATAGTGACGTGGTTAGGTTTGGGGAAAAAACGACAGGGTTTGGCTTATAGGATGCAAATACCGCTCTCCCAGGTGAAAGTCAGTGTTCGTTGGACCCATCCATCACCCCTTCCACCCATGCTACTCAGACTTTTGCCACCTGAACTTTCGTTCTTGTCCCGCTGCGTTTCCCCCTGACACCACCGAGCACCTTTAAACTATAATGGCAACTGGCTGCGTATCATACCGACATAAAAGGATGGCTTATTTCATTAGTGTCTGACACCACAAGTCACTATCCAAGCACCGGATTTCAGTGACTTCGGAGTGAGACCAGGTTGGATACACGCATGCATCAACATGCGAGCATAGCCGAACCAGTTTACTACAACAAACAACAGAGAAGCTTGGATTACAGCACACTCAGAGGGAGCGTGACTTCATGCTCTGCTCAGTACGCCAATACACTACGATATCTTTACATAGCAAATAATAGTTTGCTGCTATATTAATGCTCTAAACGTCATTTAGACCTTTTAAGTTATGAATCACAGCTCCTGGTGCTGTAAATATTCAAGACAGCATCAAACATGTATTCATGCCCGGCTGAAAATAGTCCCCAACAAACACACTATTTACTCCTGACTGACTAACATTTGCTAAAAACTACAGTGCCCAGCTGTTTTTAAATTACAGAGCTTTTTTTCCTTTTTAAAATGCAAATAAATACTGTATTTACGACCCATTTTTGAACATTTATATCAAGATTTACATTCTCAGGACTGAGATCTACAGGCCAACAGGGAAAAAGTCAAGAAGTAAGAAAAGGGTTTTCATGGGATTTGCTGACAATAACAAATATTACCAGTGATATTCTTTGAGTAAAATCATCTTTTACATAACTTTTGAAACGATCCAGAAATGTCTTTATTTACATCCTTAGTACGTCACAACTAGGCCTGACTCTCCTGACATGAACTATCAAGAGATGTGCATCCAACAATATTCACAAATATGGTTTCTAAGTGGATAAAACGTTTTTGTCTAAACTTCAGCCTCCCTGCTCCATGCTCTCCTCCTCCTCCTCCTCATAGCCCCTCTCCCAAGTTGTCTCACCAGTCTCAGTGATGTCGATGAGGCCCAGCAGGTGCATCAGTTTGAGGAACATAATCACCAGGCAGACGATGCCGACAGTCTGGAGTCCCTCTGTCTCCCACCTCACACTCATCTTCCCCTCTTCTTCTACCTTCCCCTCCACGGTCCTTCTCTGTCTTCTTCTCCTTTACAACATAACTGAACTTTCTACGCACCCTTTCTTTCTATCCATCTGTCTCTTTCCGTCTTGCTCTCTCTGCTCTTCTTCTCTTTCCCTCGTCTCTGAAACAGTGTCACTCACGCATCACTCTTTTTCTGTCACATTTTTTTCCTGCAGTTTCTGTTACTCCATTTAGCTCTTTCCCGTCTGCCTTTTTAATTGACTGCCGTTTTGTCCCCCCGTGCTTTCTCCTGCTCTAATGGATCTTTCAGGATATTCTCCACAACTAAGCACAGGGTCTGATGGTCCAACTCTTTTATTAAGGCCAAGTGAATCAGATTATTGCTGTAAAAATACCTCTAAAGAGAGAGAGATAAAAAAAAATCCCTCCAAAAAATCTGGACTACCACGTTAATCCATGGGAAATCCATTCAGATAGAGAGGAAACTCAGATGCTCTCACATCACATGTAGGTTTTTTTGGCACAAGCATACAGTTGGTTTGGGATTCCTCCAATGAATGTTATTCCTCTAGTTGGTGACAAAACTCTTGTCAAATAAAAAGCTGCCATCCACATCCTCCACTGACTGGATAACTGATGCACTGCAGTTTCTTCCTCTCTTCCCTCCCTCCATCTCATGTCTTATTTCTGCTAATTAACCTGTGAACCCCAGAGGACCTCGAGAAAAAGTTGCATGTCTGCCTTTAACAATCAAAATAGCAAAAAAAAAAAGACAGCAAGTTGCATAATACCAAAGCTTTAAAATGAACAAAACTAACAAGGATTTTTGTTATTTTTTTCTAAATGTGACACACAAAACTATTTGCCTTTAAGGAAACAGAGACATGATGAGAAAAGGTCAACAGGTGTCCTCAATCTCATTTTCCCAGTCAGCTATGTGATCCACTTTCTAATTGTTCTCCTGTCTCTCCTGGGGTCTGTAACACAGATTTAATACTGTGTCTCTCTCACACACACATACACACACACACACACACACACACACACACACACTCATGTAATAAATGCTCCCTCTAGTGGAGACCAATGAAACAACAGCAGCCACAGGTGACTGAATAGGTACCCTCGTGCAGACCCAGAAAAAATGATTATTTCTCTCTCTGTTCACAACTGAGGTCTTTTGCTCCGAACATATGGTGTCCTGTGTGTGAAATATTTACCTGTCCTGTTATCTCAAACTGTAACAATAACAAATTAAATACTGATAAATAGTAACATGAAGTAGGAAGGAAGGAAGGAAGGAAGGAAGAAAATTAAGTTTCAGTTGGTAGTTAAAAAAGGACGGAAGGAAGGTAGGCAGATAGGTAGGTAGGAGGGAAGGGTAGGTAGAAAAGATGAAGGTAGGCCAGTAGGTGGATACAAAGGAAGGAATTTAGGCAGGGGCTAAGTAGGTAGGGGAAAGGGGTAGGTAAGGAGAAGGAAGGAAGATAGGTAGTTGGGTATAAAAGAATAGGTAGGTAGGTAGGAAGGAAAGAAGGTAGGTAGGAAGACAGAATGGTAGGTAGACAAGTGGGTAGGTAGGCAGATATGGTAGGTAGGTAAGTAGGTAGGCAGTTATGGTAGAGAGGAAGGAGGGAAGGTAGGTAGGTAGGTAGGTAGGTAGGTAGGTAGGTAGGAAGGAAGGTAGGTGGGTGGGGAGGTAGGTATGGAAGACTAAAGGAAGAGAGGAAGGAGGGAAGGTAGGTAGGTAGGTAGGTAGGTAGGAAGGAAGGTATGTAGGTGGGTAGGTAGGTATAGTAAAAAAGAAAGGAAAGAAGGTATATAGGAAGAAAGGTAGATACAGTAGGAAGACAGGATGGTAGGTGGTGGATGAGTAAGTAGATGGGTAGGTATGAAAGAGTGAAGGAAGATAGGTAGGAGGGAAGGTAGGCAGGAAAACAGGATGGTAGGTAGGTGGGGCGGTATGTAAGTGGGTAGGTAGGCAGATATGGTAGAGAGGAAGTAGGGAATGAAAGTATGTAGGTGGGTGGGGAGGTAGGTATGGAAGACTGAAGGAAGGAAGGTAGGCAGGTATGTAGGTGGGTAGGTAGGTATAGTGAAAAGGAAGGAGAAAAGGTAGATAGGAAGAAAAAAATTAAAAGTGCAGTGAAAAGTACAGTACTTGCTGAAATGTAGTGGAGTAGAAGTATGAATTAGAATAAAGAAATACTGTACAGCTACATCAAAACTGTACTTGAAATGTTAGTTGCATTTCACGACTGTTTGAATGATCTATCTGGCGACAAACATGGAAACAAGTCACAAACAAAGCTACTCATTTCCTCCTCATCTCTTTACAGTGTATTGATGTCACTTGCCACTAAAATATCCTGCACACATTGTGGAGGAGTAAAAATATCATATATTGGTATCAGAGAGCCTCAGAATACATCTCTAAAGACAAGGCTACCTCTGGCATCAAATGTCTTCCCAAAATAGGACCAAGTTGGACTGA